GACATTACGACTATATGACGGCTAGGGAAGGTTGGAAATGTCAGTTTGGAGTTGGGAACGCCTATTTTACAAACTTATATTAAGTTCCACTTGTGTGACTACATAGAAACTTGAAATTAAGCTCATAACCGGATGACAATACAATATGGTAGATTAGTTAGGGCCAGTTTTTCAGTGCACGTCTGTGGTTTAAACTTAGATTAAATGCTTAAGCTTGCTGGTTTAAAATACTGGTTTTAAATTTAAAATTAAGCCGTTAGGTGGCCAAGGGGTCGACTTTTCTTTTTTATTAACCACTAATAGAAGCTTGTTTAAAATTTAAATTATTTGTTTTAAAATTTCTTCTGTTTACATAACAACATCGAGTGAGGCTTCAAATGTCGTAAATAAGATACTAGAAGTATTCGAATACAACTGAATCTTTACTACTGCAGGAGTCACTCTCATCTCCAATTTGACATTGTAAACGCTTCTTTATGTTGCCTAATGAATCCCATAAGTGAATAACTTAGGTATGTATTTCAATTTTAGCAGAAAATAAATTCAAATTTATCCTGGGAACAACTTTAAAGCATACTCGAACATCTTTTAGTTACTGAATTGGTATGTATGGTTTTATACAACATCCATATCTACATATTTTAAATTTCCTAGTACTTACTCATAAGTTACGTTGTTGTCAAATTATTTCATAAGTTTTTAAAAAATAAGAAAAATCTAGTAGTATATTGGCTAAAATTGAATTTCACAGAAATCAAATATTATTCTACTTGTTCACATATTAAGTGGAAACGCTATTAGTCATTCTATAAATTCGCAAGTACAACAAACTTGTTACGAATCAATTAAATTGAGCTTTAGTTGACTTTAGTAATTCCAATTAATTGATTCTACTGCTTACAATTGCCTACATTTTACTTATACTAATTTAATCGTTAGCTTTTCTTAGCAATTACAGTACACCACGCTCCGCAAACAATGCTCACTTCTGCAACTTTACCCTCGATGCTTTCGATTTTTCTAAATTCATCACAATAATCCACTTTATGTCCAATACCTAATTGGCCGTGTGC